CAGGGCCTGAGCTGGATGCCACGCTGCAGAGGTGAGTTCCAGCCTCAGAACTGTTACACCGCTAAGTTCCCATCTCAGCAGGGGATGCAGCGATGCTCTGGGCCAGCTGTTCCCCACAGCAGCATTTTGGGCAGGATAGGCCTGCTTACAGAGCCATCCCACTGCACAGCCTGCCAAAACCGCCCCACGAACCTCATGGGAACCAGCTTTCTCCTGAGCCAACCGGTGCTTCCTGCTCCCGAGGCCTGATCCTGTGGGATGCTGAGCATTCTTTGTTCCATTTTTAAATTAATGAGGTTTGAGCAATGCAGAGACTTGAGGGAAAAAAAAATAAAAGAGGTGCTTGATGCTTTTGGTGTTTGTGTCCCAGCTGGAGAGAAGAGAGGGAAATGTCAGGTTTGGGGGAAGATTTGAGAGACATCCATCACCTGGAGAACTGTTTTTAATTTGGGTGTTTTAACAGGGGCTCAGCTCCACGGGGATGCCACGTCCCACACTCCAGCCTTCGGGTCATACCAGCACTGTGTGCCCATTGAGGAGCAGCCCTGGAGGTGGCAGAGCTGCCAGCACTGCCCGCTGCTCCCATCCCATCCTAACAGAGTCCCCTTGAGGTTGCTGGGAGGCAGCCCGGGATGTGAGGAACCCCAGAATCATCCCTTGTAGCCAAGAGAGGACAAGGAAAGTATAAACATACAATCACAACAAACCCCAGTGCCTGTGGGGCAGGCTGAGCAAAGGAGAAGCTGGAACTGGCACACGGCAAAGGATCCACCTGGGAGCAGAGCATTCACTACGTGCCATCCTTCGCCCTTCCCCATGCATTCAAACCATACCTGGAGCCCAGTGGCAGCATGGCAGTGCTGTGCCCCCTCCTACAGCAGGCAGTGAGCAGGGCACTGGGATCCTCACCGCCGCTGCAGACTCCTTTCTTCTCTCAGCCAAACAGCAGGGAGCTTTCTGAGAAACTGCCCGCAGGGAGCGATCACTTTTTCCAGTCATTAACCTTACACATCCCTCGCATTATCGGAATACTCTGGATGTGTAAAGTTGCTGCAGTGAGCTAATTCTTCCAGGTGACTCCAGGTGGCTTTAAATGGGCTGCTGCACAGCGAGGGGATCTGAACTGCTGGAGCTGAAAGCACTCTGACTCCAACATGCCCGGCCTCCAGCGGGGCTGTGAGCCTCAGATGTCACCGTGTGAGCACTGAGTGGCAGTGGGGACGTGGGGCCTCTGGAGCTCTGGTTTCCAACCCACAGTGGGCGCCTGGGGTCCATAAGGAAGGAAAGTAGTGCAGATCACCTGAGATCGACCACGCAGGGGAAAAATATTTACAAGTCCAGAAATCAGGAGCAGCTGAGGAACAATTTTAACAAAAACAGTCACAGAAGACATCACATTTGACTCTCACTGGGGATGGGTGGTCATCTCTAGTTTGTGCACAGCACAAACAGGGACAGCGCAGGCAGCACCCTCCTGCTGAGTAACTTCAGCTTTGGGGTACTGCAGGGTTCTGCTCCTCTGGGAGAGCCTTTGGCAATGGAGATGTCACAGTCTGTTGTTTTTCCCCAACTGCCCTGAGATCTGGAGGACTCTGAAGGTGAGAACAATGCTGTAGATTTTGGAGCATCCAAATGTAGGATGGTTCTCACAGCCTGGCACACCACTCAAACAGGATGTACTTTCTGCACACAGACTGGCTGCCCAGGGAGGGGAATCACAGTTCCCTGGAGGTGTTTCGGAGCCATGGAGATGTGGCACTGAGGGACGTGGTCAGTGGTCACGATGGGATGGGCTGAGGTTGAACTTGGAGATCTTGGAGGTCTTTTCCAACCTGAATGATTCTACGATTCTACTCTATGGTTCCACGAATGTAAGCTCTGCAGTCAGCCCCATACAACGTACTGATCAGCAGCTTTACCTCCTGTCGTGGAGTGGGGACCACTGAGCATGATGGAAGAGAGACTTTACATCCTACAGCAGAAGTCTGCATGATGGACAGTGTCAGCCACATAGGTGAAGCTCCACTTACAATTAGAAGTATGAAATAGCAACACTCAAAGTCAAAGGCCACATGGCAATTCATAGAATAATGGCTCACACCACACACATCTGGGAAACCCCTCCACAAGAAAACATCTTGAAATACAGCTTGAAACACTGGCATATGGTATGGAAAGCAGTGTTCTAACACTCTTGAGAACAACACAGATTTAAGTGGTGGCAGTGCCTCAGTCTAAGCTTGGAGAAGCTCAAAATGCCAACTGCCCTCCCCAGGTGCTGCAGGAGTGCTGTCCTCTTTGTGATTTCAGGACCCATCCTGGCACTGAGAAGTCACAAAAGGTAAAGTGGAGTTCATAGAGAAGTGCTCAGGAGGGTTTTCTGCCCTCCTGCACCATTTGCTCTTTTGGATTCTTTTTGGTTTGGATTAAGAAATGATACCAGGAAGGGTTCTCAGGAAGGGTTTAGCTTTGTTTTCTTTTTGTCCCAACTATTAGCTGACTCTTAATGAACCTGGTGCTTGAAGTCTTAGTCCCACTCTGAAAAATGCCTGCAAGCTCTGCTCCAGCTGTGCTGTGTACAGAGTGCTGACACCTCATGGCCAAGAAAGTAATTCAGATAAGACCATTTTCCAGGATATACGGACATAAATTCTCCATCTGCTATAAGGCAAGAAAAGGGGTTCATTTATCAAGAAGTTTGTAATGAAGGGATCTGAATATACCAAAGACAGGAAGGAAGAAATCCAGAAATGCTTCGAATTCTTGAATTACAAACACACGGGTGTATCAGGGCCCATTATTCACAGCTGTGGTAGTCTGAGCTTCCTTGATGCTGAAGGATGCATTTCTTCAGCAGCATGGCTCAGGTACTGAACCATACGTGGCAGAGCTCATCATCTCGGTGAGCAGCATTTGTTAACAGGTGATATCCCACCTGCTTCAGGGACTGCTGCTTACCCTGTTCTGTGGGGCAGATGACCTCCTTTGCAAAGTCCTTATGGGTCTGCTGCTGCCCATCCTCTCCCTCAGAGCCTATGGGGCAGATTTGGCTCTCCAGAGGAATGTCCATTTTTATTTGGAAGAAGCTGTGTTGTGAAACAAAGACTCATCACGCACAAGGCATTTTCTGATGTGCTCTCTGAGGCAGTGAGCACGCAGCACAGAGGCTGGCTTTGAGTTTCCTACAGTTCAACCCCCAAACCCCAAAGCAAAACCCCTGGGCACAAGCCCACATAGATGGAAAATGAAGAAAACTGCAGAAAAGGTGCCCTCTGATTCCTCAGAAACAAAACTGCTGTGCAGCACAGCCCGGCGGATAAAGAGCCCTCAGGTTCTGAATTTACAGTATGGACTCATCCCCTCTGACTGCAGCATGGCTGGTTATAAAATGTACATACATTAATGTAGAGGTTGAGAGCACACTGATTTACCACAGGACAAGGCCAGGAATCGGTCTCAGCAGTGACAGACTGCCCCAAAACCCCCATTCTCACAGCTCCAAAACAACAAACGTTTCCAGGTTCTCTCTCAGGATTTCTGCTTCCTCACTACTTTCGGGTCTCCTCTGACTTTTGGATCATTAAACCACTCCTGAACCAGAGCTCAAGAACCAACACTGACACAAACACACAAGTGCTCTTCAAAACTCAGGGATTGGAAGACCTGCGAGCTTTACACCATCACCAGGAGACACGAGGGCAGCAGAACCACCAGCACCTCGTGCCCATCCTCCTGCTGCAGCTCGGTCTCTCCAGTGCCATGCTGATGGGCAAGGGGCAGGCGGTGTGTGGGGCAGGGCCATAGGGCTGGGGGGCAGCTGCTGGGGCCGATGTAAATGGCTGGATGAGGGGCAGGGGAGGCGAGGTGTGGCTGTGGGGAGAAAAAGGAGAGGTTTGGTCAGGGCTGGTTGTGTCCCCAGATGTGAGGATGGGGCCTCATCACTGCCCGCTGGTCCCACAGCTCCTGCAGGAGAGCGGAGTTGTTACTTGCACGTGGAGGAGCTGTTTGCACGTGGAATGCACCAGGCTTGTTAATGCAGGCCTCAGCAGGGTTGCTGCACCAGGCTGACATGCTGCTGTAGGAGACATCAGTTTGCCCATACAGTGCCTGTTACCCTGAAATTGTGGCTATGAATGGCACAACCACGTCAAAGCTGAGGCACAGAGGCACGAGCTGCCCAGCAAATAGGACAATGTGCTCAAGCCCCTGTGTCTGATATAACAGAAGATGGTGTTACATCTCAGACTGAAGCCCCATGTCTCCAGCTGATGCTGCAATGGCTCAGGCTCAGTTGCCAAAGCCCTCGGGATGAGTAGGAGAGATTAATCCACAGAGCACATGCTGCAAACCAGGGTCCCCCACCCAGCTACCAAGGCTTCGCTGCCAGCAGGATGAAACGCAGCTCAAGGCTTCAAACAGAAGTACTGAGAGCAGAAATACATACAGAAAACACATGCATGGCAAAAAGATGGCAGCAAAGGATGGACAAACTGAGACATGACCGAGAAGGATCAACAGTTTTTTTAGTTTTTTTTTTCCTTCATTTTCTATATTTATTAGACAGATAAATGCATGAAAGCAGTGGCCAAGAAACAACCAACCTGCTGCCCTGATTTCCAATGGAAACAATTTTTTGGCTGACATAAAGTGAGGTTCAGTTTGTACCATGGTCACACTTATACCTTCCTCTTCAGGGACTGAGCAGCAAGGGACCAAGCAGTGGCACACTGCGTCATACCAGCTTACTCAGCCTATAAGCAGAACAGAGCCAGCTTCTGCCTGCAAGTGTAGGACTGGAGTTTCACAAGCATGGGGACTGCAGAGCAGCATTAACCCACCAGCAGCACTAACTCTTGCCAGTGGCAAGCAAGGTAAAGCTGAGATGTTAAAAAAAATAAAATCAGAGAAAGGAATGGATAGAGGTAACATAAAAAGCACAGCTACAAAAAAAAAAAAAAAAAAAAAAAAAAAAAAAAAAAAGTAGAATCAGAGGGACTGACTGGAACACACAGATTTGTTATTTATTATTGATATCCTGACTTGATCTTCCATATGTTACTACTACTGGCAATCCCAACACGTTCAGTGCTCCATGTTACACAAGCTCTGAAGAGTGTAGAGCTCATCACATCCAAACAGCTTTAAACCAACCCTGCCAAGCTCTTCAGTGCTCTCTTGTCAAGGTAAGCTGATGGTGCTCAGTACCTCGTGTAAACAAGCCTTGTGTTTTAAGCATTTACATCTGAGTCTGCTCCCCCTTATGGCACTGCAAAATTTACCATTGATTCCTTTGGGAACATGAACAGAGATTTAGCAAGCAGGCCTTGACATCAGAGCAAAAGACTCGTACAACTTGATTTCAATTCCTCTAAAAACGTTATATCACCATTAGGTTAACAAGGTCATGAAAATCTCCCATAGCTCAGCTGCAAAACGAAGGCCTGGCTGGCTCCCTCTCAGTGAGAAGTTGGTCTATATGCACCTAAGAGTTTCCACTCACACCCAGGTTTCTCTACCTTCATTTTTCTGCAATTTCATTCCAGTTGTAAAAATGGATGAACAATACCAAGAGGAGTTAAGAACTTTCCTGTACTTCAGTTCTTCCCATCCAGTTCCTCTGCTTCCCCTAGCTTCTAACAAACAAGATTTTCTGCCTCCCCACCCCCACTGCCTTTACTGAGCTTTGCAGGAATCTTCCCAGTTCTGATAATCATCAGCCTAGTCCAGACAGGCAGGGGTTTCCCAGCAAAGCCTGGAATCTCCCCAAGCTCTTTAGTGCTAACATAATTGTTTAGATTTCCTATTCTAAGGAGCAAAAGAGACAGTAGAAATGGGGAAAAAAGAAACAAAAAAAAAAGAACAACAAAAAATCACTACTTAAACTTGAAACCAGCTCTTAACACCTCTGCCCTGGCTCTTCTTTGCCTCTGGGCTACAAACCAGTGACAACTGGAACTACCTCCTGTTATTTTTTTATTTTTTATTTTACAGAAAATAGAATAGCAGGAAAAAGACAAGACAAGAGGCAGAAAGGACCTGATAAAAGAAACACAAAAATATGGTAGCATCTCTCAAGCACTCCTGCAAGCTCCTGTGAGAGACAGCTCTAAACCTGCACACCTAGCTCATTGTCTGCAGGGTAATGGAGAGAGAGCAGAGCTTTTCACTGATCTCCAGTGTGCCAGGGGGACTTGGGATTGTCATTACAATTCAAAGAGATATCCAAACTTTCAGAAATGCTCCTTGTACTGTTCTCACAAGAAGCCTATCCCACTCTTCTGCCTACAGCTCCTCTGCACTGATTTGGAGGTGCAGGATACTTGAAGTGCCTTAGAGCAGATGGAGAATTTATGTGACCACTCCTCTCAGTGGATGCACACCATAGGAGGGTGCACATCCTGCTGAGAGGATGGATATCAGCATGGACACATTCTGACATAGGGTGCTTTGCTCTGCTCCCTGGAGAGTCTTCAACTGCTGCTCCAAAGAAGGTCGGTATCAACCCAGAGGACTGAGACAGCACAGCTTCACTCTACCTTGTGCCATCCCAGCTGCTAGAGGAGCAGAAGACAGGGAGAGGCACACAGGCTGCCCAGTCTCCTGGGGCTTGGGGCAGCTAGAAGGCATCCCCTGTCATGGTGTGCACAGAGGGATTTTTGGCCCCATGCTGTGAATCCAGCACAGCCAGCAGCCTGGCCTCCAGGAGCATTCCCATGCCTGATGTGCCTGGGAAGTGACATCTGCTGTAGAAGCCATGGCAACATGCAGGAAGCAGGCTGCTGGCAGAGCTGGCCTGGGAAACCTAAAGCAGCACTGACACCTTCAGGAAAGGGAGACGAAGCTCAACACCAGCCTCAGCTTGTCTTTTCCCTGCGCTGTGCCCTGCAGGGCTCAGAGCCTACTTAGGAGGCTCCTGCTTGAGCTGGCTCCTCCGATCCAGCTTGCTCATGACCTGTGTGATGTCCACGGTGGCAGCAGCTTCTTTGGCTTTGGCTTCTTCCTCCTGCTGCCTCAGGATGATGGGGCTGGGGCTGGAGCGGAGATGACGGCGTCCAAATGGGAAATTGGAACTGGGCAGAAAGAGAAAGAAACAGAATGTTACTGAGAAACTCTGCATAGCTGGATGACCTCAGATAGAGCAGAGCATCAATCAGAAAACCTGCTGAGGCTATGCACGTGGAGAGAGGCACTTGTCACAGTGCCTGCTGCTAACTGACCAGGCAAAAAAAGGCACCACATACATTAAATACAGAGGTGTACCTTAGTAATTTGGCTGACATTCCTCTTAAACATTTTTGTCTCTTAAAATCTCTCCCAAAGAGAAGCCAGTGAGTATTCCATGAGATCATTTAATGAGGAGGGCAAGCGTAGATAAAGCAGCATACATGATGCTGTCACATTCACAACAACAGGGAAGCACAAACACAGACTAAATGGTTTAAAACAGGGCTTGGTGATTCTGTCATATAGCAGCTCCAGTACTACTAAAAGAGTAAAGTCAGCTTTGTTCCTGGTCTTAGTGAGAGACACCAAAGCCAGAAGATGTCTAGAACATTACTCTTCTTGTTTTAAGCATTTGAAAGGGCCTGGAGCATATCTCGTACAAGGAAAAGCTGAGAGACTTCAGACTCTGCAGTCTGGAGAAGGAAAGGCTGAGAGGTGTTTATAAATATCTAAAGTGTGGGAGTCCAGTCAATGGTGGCACATGGCGACAGAAAGGGGCAACAGGCAGAAACTGCAGCACAGGAAGTTCCCTACTGCTTAAGCAAGGAGGTTGGATTTGATTTCTAGAGGTCCCTTCAACCCCTACAGTTCTGTGATTCTATGAAAATAACTAACATTCAGCACGACTCCAAACAACAGCCATCAAATTGAGACCAGTATAGGTGGTTCCCAAAAAGACACCTGCTATCTGTTTCAGCAGAATTGTGCCCAGCAGCAGTGAAAACAAATGTTAAACCACTTCTGGATGGGGTACTAGCTCTCTAGTTTATACAGGATGCTGCTGTGTATCCAGAACAGGCGCTGAAAGATATGATGGTAATCACCAGGGGTAATCCAGCATCTGCCAGTGACTTTGTGTGGCTCAGGGAAAAAGTAACCCAGCCCCAAACAGGAGGGTTTGTTGGTTTTTGGTTTTTTTTTTTTCCACTGACTTGGGCTTTAGAAGAAACAATAATGTGAAAATCCATTATTCCTCTTTTTGTTTGCTAGGCTGACGAGTGGAAGAGGAACAGAGAGAAGAGCACATCACCCAGTCTGGCTCTGACGGTGCACATTTTGTTTTAAGAAGCTATTGCAGTTCAAATTGCCTACATTTGCTGTGCAACTCCCACCTTGGTCAGGAAAAAGCCATTTCAAGCCTTCCCCTTCTCAGGCAGTCTACCTTGTATCACCCACAGGTAAGATGCGTTTCACCTTCACTGTGTAGGGTGTAAACAGCTTTGTTCAGGCAGAGCAAGCAGAATCCATGGAGGATCCTACAACAGCTCTGCATCTCCTCTGGCAGCCAGTGTTTCATGGCTGAGAGTTCTCGTGCCCAATACACAGTGCTCTCTCCTTCCAAGAAAAATGCTATGATTAATGCAACAATCACAGCATTTCTGAAAAGACCCAACAGGCAAGACAGCTGAGTTATCATCAAGCAGATTCTGATTGCACAGGAGGCATTTCCAAAGGACTCACAAATAAACAGCATAATGAATCTCAAAGAAAGGCATCTTCTTAGTGAAAAAATGTATTTAATTAAGCAAATATCTAAATTATAGTAATTTTGCTGCAACTCAGGCTTTTTCAACCCTTGCTACAAGAAAAGCAAAGCCCAGAACTGTGTTTAGTTTCACTTGCCTTTTTTTGACAGTTTCTTGTGGCACAACAGCCTTGGCCAGCATTTCCTTGTATACTGGAGACTTTAAATAGCGGCCATAGGAGTCCTACTAGGAGAAAAAAGGGAAGCTGGTAGTTATGGGCTTATTAAAATCACCACCAAATATATCTGCTCGGGAGCCAAGGAGGCTGGGAACTGGACAGCCTCACCCAGCAGCCCAAGCGACTTTGCATTTTCAGGCAAATGTAGGTACTTAAACCAATTCCCAGAATTTTCATCTCCTAGTAAAGCTTCCCAGGTACAACCCAGGGGTCCCACAATCATTGCAGGGTGAAGAACTTATGCTTCAGAAGCCAAACCTTTCAGCAACTGGCTTAAAATCAACTTTTTCTTTCACTGTCCATTTGCATTAGCTGCTGATTTGGCCGACAGCGCTCCTCCTTGCTGAGTGCAATTTGACCAAGGGAATATTTAGAAAGAAGGACATCTAACCTCGGCCACCTTGGGGGAAAAAGCAGCAGCAAAATACAAAGAGCTGACCCAGTGCTTGCTTAAGTCAGCAAATCTGAGGGATTTTCAGACAGAGGCCACTCAACAGCTGGTGACAGTCAAAGACATGGAAAGGCCCCGAGACCTGGAATCTCCCTGAGGCTTGAAAACAAATAACAAACCTTTTTCATCAGCATGTAAATGTGGGTCTGAGCAGCATCTAAAACATAGCGATGAGGGTGCTTGAGGCCTTTCACCGTGATGCCCATTGTTGTGCCATCGATGTTAATCCAGCGCCTAGCTCCTGGAGCGAGGAAGAGCCTACGAGGAGAGGTGGATCAACAGTGTCATTAACAAGTGAATTCCCCGAGATTCCTGTCTGTGGATGAAAGGAAAAGTCCCTTCAACTTCCCACTACAATTTGCTGTAATCAATCTCGAGCAATTAATCTTCTCTCCAGCAAAATGAGCTGTGACATTCAGTCACTTCCTCTTGCAATTCAACACACAACATAAACCAAATTTTAGCCCTCTGGAAGCAAAAAGGGTCTCTCCACTCATTCTGCGGCAACCCCAAGACATTGGCTATTCTGGTATTTAAACTACATGCTAAGATTTCTCTTAAACATTATACTGGAGAGCAGAGGGGAAAAGCAGCCATGCGACAATAAGCTTTCATCTTCACAAGCTCCATTCCTACACGGGCAAAGCCTCAGGAGTAAATCACTAGGGGAATGACAACAAGTCAGGGAGAATACAAGACTCATGTAGAGTGTAAGAATGTAAAATCATCACACTCACTTGTAAATTTCTTCTGCTTTTTCTTTGACCTTGGACTGGTCTCCATATTTGAGATCCTCACAGGCTTCCCAGAAACTCAGGTTCTCTCCTGCACAAGAAGGATTCGTTGAGTACAGGGTGAGACCAAAGAAATCCCGTTTCTTAACTCCTAAACTGAATTTGTTTGATTCAATACAACACCGTCCCAATTCAGAATCTCTCTAATTCTTACAGTCACCCTAAAAATCTCCTGGGGACTGAAGGAGGAAACAGCTTCCCACTGCCCTCTGCTCAGTGACAAACCTGCAGGAGCCTGCAAATGCAACCAGCTGCAGTTTGTCTGGGAACAGTCCCAGCACACGAGCACCCTGTGCAGCTGTACTGTGTGTCCCGTGCCACTAGGTGGTATTGCACGCACTGGCTGCACAGTCGCTCTGCTTCGTGAGTTTATCACTGTTCCAGCTCACAGCATCTATTGCAAAGGCACGGATTGCTCCTGGTGGCCCGGCTCAGCTGAGCAGCATCCTGCTGTGTGCCCCAGGGAAAGAGAGACAAGGGACGAACCGCTGAACTCCTTCTTCAGGAAGAGCTGGAAGTTCTGCCGACCTTTTGGGTCCCGTATCAGCTCGCTGAAATTAAAAGCCCATCGCTCCACACGCATTCTGGTGGGGATTTCCACTCTGCAAAGGTTAAATACAAACAGGACTGCCAGTTTCATGAGGCCCATCTAAATGGCAGATTAATTAAAACCAAAACGTTGGAACGTCAGGAGACTTAGTGCTTTCTGTTTTCCAGAATGCTCTAATGAGCTCCTCAAGTCAGCCCGCTAAGGAAGCAGTAATTAAACAACTTGGTACACAATGGGATGAGGATTTATCTTGGAATTATTCTGCTCTCACAACGCTGGCCCAGCTTTGCTGGAGGTCTGACTCAGTCCCATCCTGGAGGAGGATATCACTGTTGCTCAAAGCTTCCATTCTGTGAAGGTATCTTCTGGGGCTGCCTTAATGGGATATTATCACTATAACAGGATTGTTGGTCTCAAATGAGGACCAGTAATATGCTGTATGCTTCAATCCCAGAGTTGCTAATACATAATTAGCAAATGCTATCTGAATAGGAACCAAGGGAGACCTCAGAGAAGGAATGGACCATCAGTACATGTCCACAGTCCAAACTCCCTACTAAGAAGCCAAGTAGTTGAACTCTGAATTGCTACACCATTGGCAGGGGCTATATTAGCAAGGTTAATCCTAAATCAACTGCTATGCCTGAGCATAACTTGTCATATTCTACTCTTCTGCTAGTAAAACTGAAATAATTCAAGGGAGGATTAGGACAATTGAGCAGCTTCTAAGTGTGTACTCCCAACATTTTAGGAATTTCCAGTGTTAAGGAAGATTCAGCATGAAGTATTCCCCACAGACACTTACTTTAGCCATGTCAGAAGGGGAATTGTTGCCCTGCTCATGATCACGGACTGGATATCATGATGAGATCAGCGGTTCCCCTTTCTGATTTCTATCAGCATAAAGGTCACTGTAAACCACAAGCTGACAAAAAAAAGTACGTACAGCTTTGCATTGAGATCCCAGAAATCAGGGTCATCTGTTATCCAGGGGTTGCTAGGGAGACATCCAGACAGGATAGGATCATTGGAGAGAAACTGCTCAGAGTACTTCACAAGCCTGCAAGTAAATTCAACAAAAATCAAAATCATAACTTGCAACAGAATTGCAGTCAGACCCATTACAACCAAATGAATGGCTGTACAGACTGTGGGTATGCTCAGAGCAGCTGCCTTACCATGGAGATCTGGAATGTGGCCCCTGCCTAACTACAAAAACTGATTCAGTAGCACAGTTAATCTTTTGTGCTTCACAAACAAATCTCCCAAGCATCTTTCAAAGCACTGATTTTGTCAGGTCAACTTCTGGGAAATCCAAGGCTCCTTCATTACCTCCTTTTGCCTCTTCACTTCAAGGAAGTGGGACTAAGCCCCCAAAAGACAGCTATCTCCTGCAGCCAATAGGTCAGATAGAGAAATGCCTGCCCCCATGCTGTTTTGTGCCACACATAGCAGGGAAAAGGAAAGCAAGCACTGCATTTGCTCAGATTGGATCCTCTGCAGCCTCCCCACAAGGTGTAAGAGATCCCAGCAAGCTCTGGAAGAGATAAGGCAGTGATCAAGGCACATCCTGACTTCTCTCTCCACTGACATACCATAAAGCCCATTCCCATCCACATGAGGGTGAGGGCTCAGCACAATGCAAAAATCTCCCTATCCTAGCAGGAACCAGACAAACACTTCTACCTTCTAAGTTGGTGAGACTTGTAATTACAACCAATTTCACTAATGTCCTGGAATTTTAATTCTCTCCTCCCTTTTTCATTCTTGAAAAAAAATTATCTGGTTTCTCTGTTTAAAATTCCCTCTGGGCAAAACTGCTTTTAAGTGCTCAAAGCAGGGAGTGCACTGTCCAAGGGCCTGTTGCTAACAGGCACTCTGGCATAGATCCTGTGATTGTACAATGCTTCTGCACAAAGTATAGCACAGGTTTGGCACAGAAGTGCTTGATCCTATCTTTTCACTGGAAATGCCAAGGCATTCAGCACCTACATAATTCTCTCCAGTCCATACATTCTAATTAAGCTGCAAATCTAAACCTGTCAACTCAGGTAACATCACTCTGTTCTTTTAATGATTAATGCTTTGCAGCTCCTCCTAAATCAATGTGGTGCTCTGATGCATGCATACTATCTAGTTACTGATCTTATCCTCGTCAACAATAATTTGGAGCCAATCCCACAGCTGAAGATGGAGATCCAACTTTCCCAAGTGTTTTTTGCTCCAAGTATTGGCCATAATCCTTTATACAACTAGTACTAATGTGTAACTTTATTTTAAGTACCCCAAATTGCTGGAAGATAGACAGGTGTCCCCAGCTCCAACTCACAATTCAGATAATTGAGGCAAGGAGAGTTTTATGTGACCTGGGCGTATATGACAGACAAAGGAGCAGAACAGCTCGTGCCTTACAAGCTGTGGTTCTCAGAATACAGTATGACTTCCTAGATCTTCCATCCTATTTCATTCATCCATGACTGTCTTTCTACGAGGGAACAGGCCCAAGCTCCACGTTTATCTTGGATTTGAGAGGAACTGCTTGATGGCAATAACACGAATGCAACATGGACTGGTGGTGTGGACTGCACTTCCAGGGAGCTGCCAACACATGACTCCAGGTGAGAAACTCTTTCAAACTGCAGAGCCATGCTACATCCAACAGCCACAGCCCAGCCTCAGCCAGCCTGAATATCTCTTGATTTCAAAGGGAATCTTGGCTGAGAGGCTGACACTGCTCTGCAGACGTTTATAGCAAAGCCCCCCTTAGCTGTTTAGCTTCCCTGAAGACGAGGACTCTGCCACCTCCTGTGCCTTGTGCCTTTTTGCACAGGAGCACACAGCCACCAAGACACAAACAACAGGCCATGTGGCCACTGCAGCCATTCCCCAGACTGAGTCACCAGCTGCAAGAACAGACAGCTTCATCATCTCACTAAGAGATGAGCACCAAAGACTAATTAATGTGTGGACAGAAGGAAACTGGGACTTACCCTCCAAGGGAGACAGAAGATTTCACTCTGGATTTCATGATGGCCTGCTGATAGTACATAATCTGAAAGGGATCAGACATGCCCATGGTTAGGAGAAATGAGATATGCAGACAAGGTCAACTCTATCTGAACAGCAGACATGCCCTCTCCCAGGCAGGAGAGGGGTAGTCCTGCAATACCTACAACTAAGAGCTCCTCCTCCCAGCAATTTATTGGATGTCCAAGGAATCACAACATCCCTAAACTGTCAGGGAAAAAATGGCTATTTTCACTGAGCTCACTGAAAATACCAGCTGAGCATTTTTCACTGTGAAAGTAATGAAAAAACATTCTCCATGCTATAAAAGAACTGCATAGTAGCTACCGTTCTTGGCACCTAGAAATGCTCTGGATGATTTAGCATGTAATTATCATTGATCCTTGGCTGTCTCTACACTGGCGCCATTGGATGCATCTCCTGTGATTTCCCCACCACTAATTTTGATCTGTTGGATTTTAGCCCCGGTGTCTGCCCATGCTAATCCTTCAGTGTTTCCACACATCACTATGAGAGCTGCTGCCTGGCTGCTGCAGTGGGAGGAAATGTGCTGAAGACACACTGACCAAAAGCTCTGTGGGGCAGAGACTCTGTCAGCCAAACCAAAGCATTCTTAACACAAGCTATCCCCTGCAAAGGGGGCTCTGATCCCTCAAGTAATAAGAGTAATACATACATGTTGGACAAGTAGTAATCAAGGAACGACCAGTTACCTCTCTCCTATAAACATCCATTGTTTTTTTCTGTAAAATAAAGAAACAAAAATAAAGAAATTGGGGTGGGTGCTTTCACTCATCCTCTTTGAGACATGAAAACATCATTGCACTACTGCTGTCGTGCAGTGCTCTCCAATTAATTCTCATTACAAGTAAAATCAAACACAGCAGCTCAGCTAATCAGGGTATCATCAAAGCTAAGAGCATCCACACACCGTAAATTGTTCCATTAGCTGTATTTACTGTTAGCACTGCTTCTTCCATCACAGCCTGCCTGTGTGCCTTCAATTAAAGGGGTATTCTAATGGAGCTAAAATAGATTCATTTACGAGACACAGATTAGATCATTCAATATTAGGTAAAGGAGACAGGAACCAACACATTGCAAAATATAAACACCACAATTAAAAGCCTCAGAAGATGTATCTGCTGTGCAAAGGGTGCTTACATTGTGATTTGAGTAACTCAGACTATGTTACATGTCATCCACAAATGAGCAAGCAATTGAAGGCAAGAAATTAACTGCAGGGTGTTTATGCACACATCTTTCTTTGAAGCACAGTTACTTTGTGTGAAGTAAACTTGAAGAAGGAAAGGAAAAGACAGGCTAAATCAAAGATGCTCCCAGCAAGCCTTTAAAGGCTTTTGCAAGCTTTCAGTTCTGCACTTCCTGTTCTAGCTAACAAGAGCCACACAGATAATCTGCAGACCAGAATTATCCTATCTAATTAACCCTGCAGCAGACAGTGGCCTGCAGAGTGCCTTGTGGAAGCACAGTGTCTGTCAGCCATGAGGAATAGAACATCTGCTGCCAGACAATACAAGCAACACAGCCTGCTTCTCTCTTCTCACCAAAGAACCTGCAGAGCGCTGCCCCTGTGCCCCTATTCTGGGGAAGGCAGGATACTCTCCCAAGGCTGCTTTTGGAGAGGCACTGATACAGATCTGATTTTGTATTTTAACCATGATCAGCAGCCCTACTCAGAAGGAAGAAACTGTTCTATAATTGGAAGAAAAACGTGTACATTTTGTTGTAACCTGGTTGTTTTTAAGAGGGCGCATTCACCATCTCAGAAGTAGGAGCAGATCAGCCAATCTATACAGCACTACCTCAGAGCCATCCCCTCTGATCCTAACACAAACCTAGCCTGGCCAGTGTAGTACTAACAGGAATCCCGACTGTGTTGGTATTGCAATGGGAGGAAGCTTCTGTTACTGGAAATACCATGACCAACTCTGAATGATGTATGATCTCAGCTGGGACAAGCAGGACAGCAAACACTAGTTGCACCAGCAGAGATGCCCTGCTGATTGCACACAAGGAACTGCATTTGAGGGGCTCAGGGTTGACATGCCAGCAGAAGTACAAAGCTGCTGGACAACAGGATCATTGGCCACAGGGTTGTGCAGCTTCCCTTGCTGATGCAAAGGTTCCTGGGACATCTTATGAATAATTTGAAGATAAACACTGAGTTTCAGCTTTTCACCCTCCCTAGCTCTTGGCCGTACCCCTGATGGCAAACTTTCATGTAGGCATCACTGCTTCCCCTCTTTTTTTTTTTTTTTTTTTTACAATGTTAATACTGTTCCTTATACACTGTAGAAATGGAAGGCAAAAACCTGCTTGCACAGAGAATCTAGCTTCATTTACTGACCTAGAAATGCCCACATCAAAAAACTTTGATTCTGTTTCAGGCTACCTAATTCCTGCACAATAGGAGTTCACTATCTCCTTAGGGAACCTGAGATGCAAATCAGGCCCCATTAGATTTACAGTGTGCCAGCTGAACTTTTCCATTTGATGAAACTGAAGAGTGGACAGGGCTTTTACTTAAGGAAAATCAACAGGTTAAAATTCCCAGATGATTTTAAAAGGCTTATGATGTCATCTTCTGTTTTGCCAGGTGGGTTCCTTGACCAGGTGCAGTGCAGTGGGGTGAAGAGAAGGTGGATGCTGGCATAACAGCTTGAAGGCAGCTCACATGGTAAAGTTGTATTAGTCTTCTAGAGGGATCTTAGCGAGGCAGGCAGCACACCACACACACACAAGACAAACAGCTGCTGGGAAAGAGAAGAAGTCAGTAAGTTAAGTGTTACATGGAGTAAAAAAAAAAAAAAAATTAAACTGTCATTTGTGTATGAGTTGTGTAAGTATATTAAAAAAAAAAAAAAAAAAATCACAGGCTATGCCACATCTGCAAACAAATTATTTTGAAAGTGCATCCTACTCCAAGGATCCCACCTGTCACAGCCTGAGCAGGTAGGTCAGCTCTCTGCACAGGTCCTGGGAAACTTGTGGGCTTTGGTAGGGTACCCCAAGGTGGGAAAGGGATTGCACAGAAAGGGGGCTATGGCACAAGAAGACCAACACTGAACTGGAGAGGAATGAAGCCAGCCCAGCACTGAGCATAGTATCCATCAGCTCACCCCACTGAGGGCTACAGGTGCTGGCTGTGCTCAGCCCTTTCCAGCTCTGTAACTGGGAAGGATCTCAGCTGTTTCACCCCAGAGCTGCACATCATTTCATTTCCCTTCCTCCCAAATATCCCATCCTTTCTCCTATCACCAGTGTTTCTAGTTTTACTGCTGCTATAAGAAAACCTGAATATTCTGTGTCCTTTTGAACACTGCCTGTGGTCTCCACCAGTTTCCCCATCCTAATCTCCAGCTACTGAAAGCAATGCCAAAGCACTCCACAGCACCCATCCACCCTCCATCATTTGACTGGAAATAACATTTGGAACAAAAGAGTCATTTCTTATAATGAGTTTAATTTTGCAATGCTCTTAACGAGTGACTTATCGCAGTTACTGTGGATAAGCTCTGCAGCCCTTCAGGCTTCAAATCAAAATGACAATTAGTGATAAACCTCATTCTGTCTCAGGTTGAGTGCTATACATGCTCCTCCCTGAGAGGCACAGCAGCACCTTAACCCCTGCATGGCCTTGTCACCCCTTGCTGCAAAGCAACCATTGAGGCAGAGCTGGGAGCCAGCCCAGGCTCTGAGTCCAGAGCTGATCCACGTGACTGAAGCACAGAGCTCCTACAAGAGCTGGGATTTCTCCTGTTTTCTTTCCAACTGGATAGACCTCGTCTGCTCCCAGTGTGGGAGCACACAGTGGAGACTATGGCAACTGTGTTTTTGGCTGTCTGGCCACTATCCAGTGTCTACAGAGGCCAGGAACAGCTGGACAACAGCTTTTGTGCATATGCCCAGACAGAGCTTGGAGCAAAGAACAAGCACAGACCAGAGTTCATTTTAGACCTGGTCACTGCAAAAGTGCCTTGCAGTTTGCCTCTCCTGAATGCTGGTCGTGTCCTCCATCCACCATACAGATAAACACCATGAGAGTGCACTCCAGAGGCCAATTCTGTCTGCATCTGACACAAGACCATCTAAGCATGCATCTCTGCTGCGTTGGTGTTTCCACCCCCACAGCTGGAAATCAGATTTTTAAGTGTCCAGATGTCTGGTTTCCTTCAAATAGCTGGGTTTCCTCTATCTTGTTTATTTGCTTCTGATCCTGTTGTTTCAAAAAGAGGGCTGCAGCGGAAGTTTATCAGGCAGCCAAACTGGCAGAGGCTTAAAACAAATTAAAGTCCTGCAACAAAAAGACTGCAACGAACTGTTGCATGTAGCTCATTTGCTGCATGCAACACAGAGTATTTCATTCAGAAGTCCCCAGATCTAGCACGGTGATTCTGGCCAGCCTAAGCACAATTTAGAAAGGCTTTCTGCTTACAGAAGAATGCAGAAGCAGTAACTACAGAGGAGACAGTGGCTCTGCAGTTGCTTGGTAACTCACTAAGCAGCGATGCTTGAGCCCGAGACCTGGGTAACAAAAGGCTAAAGCAGCCCTTAATTAGCTGATCAATGGACAGCTACTGCTGCCTTACTCCCGTCCAACTATAGCTCCTAACTCATTGTAGCAGTGTGCCCACGGGTCAGTGATAAAAGTCCCCTTCAAAATTGTGCAACGTTTGGCTGAGCACCTGTTTATCTATCAATTAGGGAGGGAGCCGCCCACCAAAGGGTCTGAGGCAATTGAAAAAAAAAAAAAAAAAAAAAGAGATGTGTGCGCCAATATCAGCTTCAAAGAAGTCGTTCTGATGTCAGAAATGAATTATCAGCTGAATTACTCAGCTGTCAAGATAAAAGTAAACTAATTGGCCAGTATTGCCAAACTAGACTGAGAGGGAACAGAGTCACAAATCAAGTAAATGGGTGCTGGATTCGTGCACTTCTTTTCTGCTTCCATTCTTTCACCTCTGTCAGAACCAGAGGGGCTGGGCTCACAGAAAACATCAATAAATACAACCCATGCTGCCTTTAGCAGCGATAAGGCATGTCCAACAAAGCACAGCCCAGCTCTGCACTCACAGACCTTGGACCATCCTTCCAGCTCAACAAAGGCTGTTGAGCCACAGGTGCTTTTCTGCTTGAAGGAAAAAAAAAAATAAAAGCTGCAAGTCCAACGATGGATGTATGTCAGCCTTTGGCTGCTTCGTGTACTGCCAACTGTTCTTTCAAAACCAAAAAGAAGAGCGAGAACAACTTTTCCTCTCCAGCTCAGGCTCCAGACAGCACAGGCAGCTCAGAGATCAGCTTAAAGCAGAAAGGCAGCGAATCACCCCGAAGTTGGTGTCCTTTGGCTCAGGCCCCAGTAACCCCCAGTCCCTTACGAGATGGGGAACTGTTGGTTCCTCCTGTGCCCAGGGTGTGAGCTGAACTGAGATCCCTCAGCTCACTTCTGTTACCAAACAGCTGGCAGATAGCTACAGGCTTTCACACTGTTTGCAGACTGAAAATTTCCTTCCGTGTCAGCTGTAAAACTGTGGGCGAGATGTTGGCTTACTCCTCTTTTCCCTTTCTCTTTCCTCCTCTCCTGCTCTCAGCAGCCGCTAGTTATGGCATGAAAAAAAAAAAAACAACAACCCCCAAACCTACATTTTGCTCATTTTCAGTATCTATGGTAACAGAACAGAGTTGGTCAAAGCAATTATCCTGCCTCTGGCTGTTGAGATGTTTAAAGGCTGTTATAAAAATGAGAAGTTGTGGGAATACAGTGAGTGTGATTGCAGTAACATTTGCATTTAATTGCTGAGACATACTTTGCCTTCACTTTCAAATGAACACCATTAAGTGCACAAATGCAGGCTCCCTTTAAAGGACTGATGGAAGAGAAGACAGGCTTCAGCTCCTCATCCACTGCTTTCATCTTACTGTGAACTCTAAACCAGTCCCACCCAGTTACAGCCTCCACAGTCTCAGTTCATTAATTCTGTTTATGATCTAGCACCACAATATGCATTCTTAGAGAACATTTCGTGCCTCTGTCCATCATACCAACTTCACCTCTCACCACATATTACCTTTCTGGAGGTATTCAGTTATTACATATTTTAAAACTGGATCTATCCTCTGATTCTTCTTACTTCTCAAGCCCATACTGAGCTCATTCAGCACTAATAAGAAGGCAGCTACAAGCATTTGCAGGTAGAAGATTCCTTCATTCAGCTTCACCAGCAGAGAAAGCATCTCCGGTAGCTATACAGTCTCACTAACTGATGTGGCAAGAAAGTTGACAAAGTACTTTTTTGACAAAGCCAAAAGAAGCTGCCAAAGCTATTTTGAGGGCTCCACACCCTGTGGACAATGAGACAGCTTCAGCTTCTGGCCTGCTAGCTGTCATGGCTGAGCTAACTTGCTCTGCCTGCATTTTCCAAAACCACCACAGTGCCAGCAACACTGCCTGGATCCTCCCAGACAGATTCAACAGATGTGAAAAAGTGCTTCCTCACCTGGTTTACCTTATCTTCACGGGGATCTGTTACACGGTCTATCCCATATTCTAGGACATCCAGCATGCCGGGCTGTTATGAACAGAAAACATCAAAAGCTTTGCCACTCATTTGTTTTAAAGTCTGTTGGACATACTAACACATGAGGAGATTCCTAAAGCCTGAGGGCTGTCACTCATTGCTCACCACTGTGACATTACCCCGTGCATGAGATGAATGATTCTGACTGGAGGGCAGGGAGCACATTTCAGCACAGCCCACAGTCAGGCTATGAGCAGCACAGCTTGGCCTGGCATTGCAGTGCATGACATCCTCCCTGGGAATGCACCCCTTCCGCATGGGCGTTGCAGCTGAACCTCCCTTCCCTGCAGCTTTGAAAACCATCACAGTGAAGGTGGTGTGGATGCAGGGCTTTGTTTTGCACCCCAGTCTGGTTGTGGCTGGGAGAGCTGTGGGATGTTCCCTCTGTGTGTATGTACAACATCCCTTCAAGCCTCTTTTCTAGGACTGTCACTGTCAGTTGATTCCTCAACCCCGTGGCCCCTTTTCACCCTTCTCAAGTGTTCCCTGTGGTGAAACAATGGCATGCACACCCAGGCTCATGCCCACAGCTGATCCCCAGCAGGTCAGGGACTTATCTCAGGGGCTCTTAGAAAGGGCCCTGCTGAGACACAAAAGCCACACACTATCATCTGCAACTTACAGGAGTTCTGTTCACAAGCCAGTAGGCTCTCTCCTGGCAATCCAGCGCGTACCTGTCCGCCTTCTTCCTCTCCTTTCCTGCCCTGCAAAGCCAAGAACAGGATTTCACTCTACTGGAAAAAATCATGATTTCTTCTTCAAAACCCAGTAGGATGACAAAGGGGACACATCGTCAGCCTCCCCACCCCACTGGGTTCCAGTCTGCCTGCCCAATGCTCTGATGCAGGCTCCTGACCACATCTTATCCCAGATAATTCTGGGCTGCAGATCACGCAGTTCACATGGTCACACGTGACTGCTACTCCTCCCTGCTTTTAGCTTTTAAGAAATCATCTTCTTCCTCAGCTGGGAGCAGACACATCCTCTTTTGAGTAGACAGACAGCCCTTTCAGAGAGTCTCATGTTAACAACCCACTGCTTGCAGTCAGTCTTGCTGCCTGATGTTTACCCATCTCAGACGTCACCAGGCAGTACATAAGGGCCCCATGCAGAGGTCCTGCCCATACATATTGTGACCCATATCTCAGCTCAGCATTTCTCGCAGAAACAACGTGGAAACAGCACCAGCGTTCCCAGGCACTACATCTCAATCATCTCCACAATTAAATAGAAGAGGGACTAGCATGATTTGGGCTCAAACCAAGTAATTTTTCTCCCAGACGTGTCCTGGGTACACATCAGCTCTGAGCATGGACACAGGAGCATTCTCAACAGGCCATCTGCTGTGGCCATAAGCAGTGGCTTAGTGGGTGCTGGCTGCCTGCACCACCAGCTGTAGCATCCCCAAACAGCCCCAGAAGCATTTAATCTGCTTCTTCAGATACTGCCTCAGTACCCACGTTTAAAACTGCATTTGGTACCTCTAAGCCTGAGTCTGACCTCAATTTACAAGAACAACAGTCTTGTGCTTAATGAGACAGTTATCAGATGAGCTGTATTCTGACAACTTGGCTTCCATCCCAGTGAGGACAGAAGTGGCTCTTGAACAGTAGAGATGGTGCTTGTTGAAGCAGAAGGTGAAAAAAAGTAGAAGGAATCCAGAGAACTAGGAAATATCTTATCTTCAAAGGAGTAAACCCATCCCAATTCACTGATTTTCATGGGAATTTAAGTGATTCAGCTCCCCACATCAAGCCATTTTGTCTGTCTAAGAAAGCACTTCAGTTTTTTCCAGAAGTCTCTGCTGGGAACACTTACCACTTCTTGATTCAGGACTGAAGTTCTGCTGTAAGACTTGGGCAAACAATAATCAAACCAGACCAGTAACAGCTCCTACGTCCAGCAGGCTCACCCATAATGACACATGGCCATCTCTGATGCCTGAGCTAAAAGAAGCTATAGCTCACGAGGGCTTGCATGCTGCAGCATCAGGCCTCAGCTTCTGCAGGGTAACCTCAATCTCATCAGGTGCAAAACCTAAGCCTCCTGTAGCAAAAGTCACTCACAAAGAGGCATGCCCTTGAGTCACCCACCCCCACCCGTGCTCTCACTCTGACAAACCACTGATTTCACATTATGGGTGGTCAAAGGACGGGCAGGGAGAGAAACACAGATGCAGAAGGAGATAGTGAGACTGCAAGCAGACGTCCACTCATTTGAAAACAGTTGCAATCCTTCACATGCGAAGTGCAAACTGAACAAAGTTCCCACGTTAAATGGAAAAAACCTGCAACCTGATATGAAAGGCAGATTTGTCCCACAATTTCAAGGGGTCCTTGCAAGTTATTTTAAAACTGCAGCTTACGCTTTAAACTGTAATTAAACTGTGTAGCAGGACAGTGAAGCTCTGCTTTCTCATACCCACCCCCTCTGATGCAAATAACAGAATGCAAGTCAACTCACTTATACTGCTCTTTGGCCTGCATAATAACAAAATCCCACTTGTAGTTTATTTTTTTATTGAGCATGTTGTAATGTTCCTGGAATAAAAATAAAAAAGCAGTTAGTGTGAATATTCTGGACGAGGCACTCCCATGCTAGGGTTTTCTTGACTCTCCATAGCTCAGCTAGGCCAGGCTGCTAACTGAGCCAAGAAATCTGGATTGTTCTGAATGTAATTATATGAATTGCAACAGTTTAAAAATACCACAGCAAGGAGAGCAATTACTCCTGCTAAAATTATCATTGACTTCAGAGTATTTTTCTGCACCAACCAATTTTTTACTTCCACAGTTTTGGCTTTTGATACCTCTGGAGTAACACCTCATTGAAAAGAGGTGACTTTTTGCTATGCTTCATTCATAGCAACAGAGGGCTTAAGCTCTAGCAAATAAGGGGTTTGCCACGGAACAAGTACAGAACCTCCTCACCTTTTCATATTCTTCTAAAATCCCTTTCCTCTTAATGTTCTTCTTTGCTAGGTAAATTGCTGTGGAGGGAGAAACAAACGAGCAGTCAGTTCTACTTAGGCAAACAACTCCAAGAATAATTAATAAATTGCCTACATTGCAAATACAGGAATCTTTGTTATAGTATCCTTCTGAGCATGAGCTCCAGGCTCACAAAAGCTCACTAAGAGAAACAAACTTTATGCTTTACCATCAGTGCCACACAAGCCATTGTATGGGTGGGAGCAGCCACGCACAACTGGTGCTGTGCGCCTTCCACCAGCAGCTGCTCCTCCTTTGGGAACCTGGCCAGGATTTCATGGGCCAAAGTATGCCGAGCCAAATCTTTAAGATACTGAGGTTGTTAGAGCTCGTCCTCCACGTTTTTCAAAAGCAGGCCAATGTTCTGTTTCAACTTCTATTAAAAACATTCCAGTGTAGAATGTACTCTTTTTCAGATCTACAGCATAATGTAGATAAAAACCACAGAGGACAACCTTGGTATAAACAAACCCATCTGCGACTGCACAGCCTAAAGGAGTAATTAAGCTGATCAGCCCAAGTTTCATGACCAGTCCTATGATAAAAGGCATTACAATGGCAGCAAACGAGTGAAGGAAAGAGGTGTCAAGAGATATTGGCAGTCAATGTGCATTATGTAAAGAAAGATCATCTCTGAATGCAGGGCTTGATCCAAACCTACAGAAGACAGTTTTGGGCTCAGATCCAGGAATATACTTAACTACTCAGGGAAACCTAACCTTGTGTTTAAAGTCTTCCCAACCCAGCAGAGTATTTTAGACACTTTCCAGTCCTACGTCTCTGGTTGGAACGTAAGAGAAGGATAAGTCCTTACATCAAAGGCACACGAGGTGCATGCATCCAGAGCATTCCCTCAGTTCAGCATTACTCACAGTCATTCACAAGATAATATGAAAGAGAACACAAGGGCTGGTCATACCATGTGGAAACGCAGCAAGAAAAGACGAAGAGCAAGCACAATGCAGGAATGCCTACACAATCACTTGGACCAGAATTACCTCTCCTAAATGCTAAGCTATCACTTACCATAGTCGGTGTCATCAGCAGGCCAGTTTTGTGCGGGCCAGAAATATGGGGTCTGCAGGAAAACAAGCCTTTTGTTAGTGCAGAGCAGCAGTGAACTCATGCCAAGTGGCACACAGCACTGCCCATACTGGAAGGAGAGAACAGCTTTTCTCTGCCATACCCAGAACCTCAGCTCCTTAGCATGCACAGTGGTGCAGGCCAGCTACAGCATGAGAACTTAAGTCATCAGACTGACAATTTCAAATCCACTTCTGCTCTACAGTCAACTTGTCCAACCTTTCCCTGCTGCACGAACAAATAGACTGAGATCCTGGAGCATGATTTGGCTCATTAGTACTTCCTCATTCAAAGTACTAATGAGAGTACCCTAATTTCCTATCACTGCAGAAACTCTCCAACTGAGAACCTTGAAAAAAAAAATCTCATTATCATTATTATTTTTGTGTATCCATTGTTCATTTTCCCCAGATCATTCTACAATCAACCATGTATTCCATTTGCTATGATAAACCTGGAAGGAAACATATTTGGAAGAACTCACAGCTATTTTTAAGTTGAGCTGGAGCAGTAACTTTAACTTAAAGGGAGTATCATAGTTTGCCTGTAATCTGTGCTCTGATACACAGAAGTGACATCTGACTGGGTGAACCGGCCTCAAGCTGCTCTGTGGCTCCCTTTTTCCTCCTCTAAACTGGGTGATCAGCATGGCTGCACAGCAGGAACTCATGACTCCAGCTCATGGGGAATTGCCCTAGGTGCCTGCATTCAAAACTTGTGAACTCCCTCCTGGTGGCATTAGACAAAGTGAACTCACTTGAAACCTGTACAGGCTGCCATCTGTCCTGAGGGTGAGATTCTTTGGCTCCTGAAGAGGGTAGATGTAGCCATATTTGACAAACAGGTCCCCCAGGTGCAATGCCTCTGAAAATAGGGAAGGTAGAAGTTTTGATTGCATGGGAACACTGCACTGGAATTTAGAAGTGAACTGCAACTCAGGAGAGAAGGATTCATCTAGGAAGATTTGCCTATGGAGATCTTAAAGTCTTACAATTCTAATCTGGAAAGGCGTCATTACCTTACATTTCTACCCACCTTCATTAGTGATCTGTAAACGCTGGAGAATCCACTGAAATATATCATTACCTGCAAAACAAAGAAAATACTGGGCACTTGAAACCAGAAGCGTACAATTCGTTGGCCAAAATGATAGCTTTCCAGTCCTCACCCCTAACACAGCCTTTGAGAGCACACAGAAAAAATGCACAACCAGCATCTCACTGGCCATGCTGTCACCCTGGCTTTCTTCTGACCAAGCAGGAGCCAGTCTTTGGGAGTGGGAGCACAAGGCAGCAATGAGCTCAGGATGACATGCTATGAGCGTGCAGAAGACCCACGTGGCCTAAGTGACATTTAAATCCTAATCATTGGCTTTGAAAGGACTTAAGTGATGCAACAGCTTACACCTCCAAGGAAGGGTAAGTGTCCCTTGTTCTGCATTATCTTGTCTTGGAAGTTTCAATGCATAGTATCTCCAGATTCACAGAGCATGGTTCTGTCTCAGTTTCAATTAGAGACCAGTGACTGGTCCCCTTTGGTGCTTTATGGAACATGATCTACAGAGCACAAGGGATGTCTGAGGCTCAGATCCAGATTGCAGTGATAACAGGAAATATCAAAGGCAAGTGAGTTTTTTTCATTCGCAAACACTGCACCTCTCCCAGTTCTTTTCTTGGAACGTGGTCAGTCATACCCAAAGTCAGCATAGATCTCCAGTGGTTTTATTTTCACATTTTGGGAGGCAGATTACATGAACCTCCTTCTGCTTCAATAAGGCCAAGCAGAAATGCACTCAACTCCTGATCAGCTATTGGTCTCTTCTACCAAAAGTCCCCTAGGATTGTAGACTGTGATGCTAACCTTTCTTGACATTGCAGCGATGACTTAACTTTCTAATAAGGGCTCACAGCTCTTATCCTACTGCCTGCTTCCTGAAATAGATGAAATTAAAGGATTATCTCATCAATCATTTTTAGACAGTTCTCTCTGTATTATCTCCCACAGGTACACATTTAGCATGGATGTTTCTTTGCCTTTTCTGATGTAAGCCATTTTACTGATACGGAATTTACCTAATTCACCTCCTGCAAGCAAACAGCAAAGTTCTCTGCAGTGAATGTGTGTCCACAGATTGATTTGTTTTACCGTCTTCCCCATTCCATCATTAAAAATTAATTAATTTCTCAAGCAATACCCAGAAACCAGTATATATGCAATTTTTGCAGCCCCAAATATATCACAGTTTAGAGAGTGATGACTGCCACGTAACTGTAACTCACATGCCCATCAGAAGTTGATGACAGTTTATGCAGGAGGAAACTCGTAACAATTCTGGTTAAGGAACCAGAATAAAGCAGACAGCACGCAAAGACAACGAGCACCAACGGGCATCTTCCCTGCACATTATCTAGCCACAGACTTTTAGGAAGTAGTATTTTCTATTGGGCAGACATCAGGAGAAGCACTTAGTCTAGTTGGCACACCATCTACAGCAATGGGGCAACTTCCCCACAGCACTGCCTTAACATTCAATAAGAATAGCAGAGGCAAGGCCAGATCTTTTGCAGATGCAAAACAGTCCACCAAATTTCATTCATAGCAACTATGTAAGGCAGGAGAAGGATGTGCTGTAACACACTGAGGATGCTCCTCAGAACAAGCTTCAGACATCTCCTTACACTGAGTCTGACTGGAACCAGAGGCAAATAGCTTAATCTGCATGCCTCTGCTTCTGTATTGAAGGAAAAAAGAAGGGGGGGGGGGGAGGGGGGGAGGGCAAGCAATATGCAGGGCCTGCAGGGCTCCACAAATACAGTCAGAATGAATGAATTTTGGGGGGCTAAACTTCTTCCTGAGGTGCCCTGAGCAAGCTCAGGGGTCTCAGCAGGAGTTCTGGTTCTGAATTTCAAAGTGCTGTAGAAAAAATGAAGCAGGAGAAAATACTGGTACAAGTATGTGTGAATATTTATAGTGGAGGATCTCTCACAAGTGCTGCTGTGGAGGCTTGGAGAACAGGCAAGCGGAGCTATTGATAGTGCATTCTGCTGCCCTGGGCAAGGAGCGAGCAGTCATAAAGAAGGGCTGTGATAAGAGCTGCCTGTAACACTAGACGTGACATATCACAGTCCAGCTATGTGTCTGCTTCTCCTCCAGCCTGCTTGAAGGAGGCAAAGCTGTCATTTAGAGGTAGAGAAGTGGGCTGAATATTTTATTCTTTTCCTGCAGGTTGAAGAAAAACAATTACTATCAGAGAATGTTGAAAGGAAGACTAATTGTTTGTTGTTCATTTCTGATGCATGATATGTCATTTTGATTCCACTCTGCCTCTTGTAATCACATTCTAATGTTTATCCTTATTTATGATCCAGCAACACCAGGAATACAATGGGTCTGGAGCCCAGTGCACCTTTTCACCTCTACTCCAAGAAAAAGCACAAAAACTCACACAAGAGAGCTCTAAGTGCACGATTAGAAATCTTTGTCTCTTATTCCAAGAGCTAGGAATAAAATGAGACAGGTGAGAGTGAGATAAAGGGGACAGGCACGCCCCAAAGGACATACAGCAAACGTTTATCAGGAGCATGGGCTCCATCATAAAATAGCTTGGGTTGGAAGGGACCTCAAGGATCATCAAGTTCCAACTCCCCACCACAAGCAGGGTTGCCAATCACTGGATCAAGTACTAGGTTGGATATCCCAGAGCTCCATCCAACCTGGCCTTAAACACCTCCAAGCACAGGGCATCCACAACCTCTCCAGGCATCCATGCAGCAATAACCTGTGGATAGACAGGGGGTCTTCACACAGCTTTGCTTTGCTGAACTTGGCCACAACTCTTCCCTTGGAGAAGTTCTTACCTGCCACAGCATGTGGGATGTTTGTGATCATCACCCTCTGAGTCTGCATCTTGATGCCCGTGTCTGGATTCTGCATCTCCATTATGAGTGCTTCAATCTGCAAAGCATGGAAAGTTCTTTTATTGTACAAATACCCCAGCTGTGCACAGACTCACAGATACTGTATCATTCATCAAGGAAAAAAAAAAAAGGCAGTATTTTGGCTGGCGACCAAACAGCAAAGGTTCTGTTTCTGGTCTGCAGATAATAACCAGACAGAACTTCAGGAGAGCAGCAGGAAAAGCACACTGCTTTGCTCCAGAGCTGAGCAAGAAGTGCAAACACCAGGGAGATGAGAAGGGCCCATCCTTTGAGAAAGCACAGCCACATTGAAACCAAGCCTCTGAAGCAGGCAAAGGATCGATTACAACAGAGACCAGCATTTACATGTTACATTTACATCCTTCTTTTACACTTGACTTCCTGATAACAGCATCCTAAAAGTGCAAGAGTGTCCCAATATGCTCAGGATGGGTGGGCCTGGGACATGCTCACCTCCTCATTCCATGTGATGCTCAGCTGAGGGCTATGAGAGCTCCGGCATTGTGAGAGATGCTCTGATGTTTGCTTCTGCTTCCAGAGATATTAAATCAGAACTGGTCCACCAAGATCAATTTAGTCTCTCTGCACATCCATTTCAGGAGAAGCTGTAGCCTTTTAACTAGGATTTGTGGATTTAACAAGTGTGACTTGATGACACTTATGCACAATGAAGGGCATTGTTTTCACAGGCACCACAGTGACTTTGGCCCTGAGTCTTGCCAAGTTCAGTGAAGATTTAAGCCCATAGTGACAGGATGCAATCTAGGCTTAACAGTAAAAATGTATTTTCAGCTGTCCTTTAAGCCAGTGTCAAATTAATACTAAAACAGAGAAATCTGGTAAAAATTCACACAAATACTTGTATATAAATACTTTAAGACAGCAAAACCAGACCCAAAACAATGGAACATGTTTGGGTTTTTTTGTGATATTTTAACTGAACCCTGGGCTGTGGCACCAGAGATAGGCCAAAGGACACAAGAGTGCCCTTATCCAGCACTCTGCCCTCTGCAGCAACAGCACCACCTCTGCCAGACTCAGTATTTCCTTACTCCAAGGGATACTGGGATGCAGATACAGCAGTGCCCATCGCCACTGGACTGCTGCACTTGTTGCCTGCAGTACAGCACAGCATCCTCTGTCCCAGTCTGCATGGCTGGAGCACCTCAGGGCTGCTCTCCCCTCCTCAGCGGGTTCCAGACAGGTCTTTAGCAGTCAAGAGTGTGGAACTGGCCTGGAAGCCCCCACACACCCCCCAGCACAGAATGTTCTCTTTCACTAACGAGCAAAGAGCTCCTGACTGTCGTCGCATTCATTCTGTTTTGGGCTCCCTCTTATCGATGGAAAAATAACATATACTAAAAAGAACCAACTGAGAGGAGCCAGGGAGCTGGGGGGCACCTGCTGCTCTCTGGCTGCAAACCAGGCACTTTGCTGATCAATACTCTGCCTGCCTGTTCCTCTCCTCCCAAGGGAATGCTCTGCTTTATGGCAGGTTGCTGAAGGCAGGAGTTGCTCTCAGCACCAGCCAGCCAGCGGGAGGCCAGAAGGGCTGCTTAAAATACAGCAAGAACATTTGCTTGCTTTGCTAAGGGCTTTCACACATTTTGTCGCACTTTCAGCCAGAGAAGCATTGTCTGGCTTCAATTTTGTACAGCTAGAAGCCACTTCCTGCCTTTGATGATGGGTGGAGATGTGCAGAGAGGTAAATATCAGCAGGAAAACTGCTAATGGAGCCAGGCTATGGGGTGAGCTCACCTCTAGCACAGAGCCACAGAAAACCATGAACCCCACTGAGATCTCCCATCAGATCAATAGGAATCGCTTCCTATTGGGGTGACTTCACCCCAAAAGCCATAAATACAACGGGAAAACTGTCTCCTAACTGCAAGTCAGAGGGACAGTTAAGTGACAAGCAAATCTCTTCTATTCATGAACCATAAGAAAAAGGATCACTGTATTTTGGGGATACTGGCAGACAATCAGTGACTGCTGGGGCAACACAACCCTGGTGAAGGCTTTCTCATGGGAAGGAGCAGTGGGGACAGGTAGCAGCTGGTGGCAGCTTGGTGACCTGCCTGGGCACACTTCCCATGCCTGTTTCTCCTGACTTTATCCTTTGGGCACCCACCAGGGTCAGGGTGTGCTGGGTGCTGGGTCTGACACACAACAGCAAAACACCAAAGGGAGGAGTTCAGCCCCCTCATGATAGGCACAAGCATCTCCATTCATGATGTCAGACACATTTTCCCAGCAGACTCCAGCTTTCTGCAGTGCCCACTCCTGGTGCTATAGTTAAACATCTGCTGCCTTCTCCATCAGGAATGCTTGCGCAGTTATAGACCCACTCACTGCCTAGTAAAGATCATCCCTCACCATACTGACTTCCCAGGTAGCAATGCAGTTATTTCACTGCTACTCTGAGCTCAGAAGATTAACTCAACCAGTTTTCTAGGTCTGCAATTAACAGTCCTGCTTTGCACATTCATAGATGATGAGGGGGGGGGAAAAAAAAAAAAAAAAAAAGGACATGAGTCATTTGTTAACCAGCTAAAACTCCCTGCTTTTCCTTAATCAAGACTGAGAGGAGGAGGAAGATTTTCCCACCCCACCACAGCAAAGCAATCCAACATCAAAGAGAAGTAAATCCACAAATGGGGAAAGGAGCAGCAGCTGTCTCTTGTGTCATGCATTGTCTTTTCTCACTGGACCACCATCTCCATTCCAAATTAAACCCACAAGGAAACAAAACCAAACCAAAAGACAGCCCTGCCTAGCTGCACATACTGCTTCTCACCAGAGATGCTCACAGCATTTCACACTTCGTGCAGCACTTCACTCAAGCAGCACTGGCATTTCCACTTCTAGATGGGAAGGGCCCTAAACCTCTGAGATGCCTTGGTGATGAACTTCTTGTACCTAGGAGACAGCACAGGGAATGAGGAAGGGAATCACTTGCCCTTTGCCAGCACAGCCCCTGCCTGTACACTCAGGCTAACTCATCCATGGAACAAAACACATGGCTGACAGCTCAGCTCTGGCAATGTTCTGAACCTCATTTAAATGGAGAGCAGGAGCCTACAGAGAAGCCCCTTCCAGCCACAACACAATTCCAGCACTAAGACATCTTTAAAAACATCTAGACAGACAAGTAGTAATTGCTGAATAGTATCAGATGGGAGAATTCAAGATGGAGCTGGGCTGGGAAGCCCCAATAATGCTGTGGATCCAGTCCATCTCTGCCTGTCTGGACATCAAGGAGCTGAATAAGGAAGAGGCAGAGAAAAAGGCAAGCGGCATCCATCAGCCCAGCCCACGAGCTATGAGTCACGATGCAGCTCATGCAGCACAGCAGAGGAAAACACAGAGCCCACCAGGTGCTGGGAGCACAGCCCAGTGCTGCTGTGTGCCTTGGTGCCTGCCACCCTGCGAGGCCAGATCCTCACTGCTGGGGTAGCAGGCACTGTGAGCTTGCTTTGGTTCAGACCACCAAACATTCGCAATATCTGAGCTGAAGCACACGTAGGTAAAACGTGCATTTTGGAGAGTTTTTTTCCTTTCCTGATAGACTTTCTTGCCCATGTTCTTTCTACCAATGCAGTTTAGGAAAAAAAAGTAACAATCAATATAATTTCCTGAAGAAAGCCCTTCCACTCCCTAGATCAGTCAGAAGCTGGAGAACCAGCACATGGAGACAAATTGCAGCTGCAAGGACACAGCAGGACCAGCAGCCTCATGGCACTGCAGGAAACCATTCCGTGCTGCTGGCACAAACCCACAGCTACAGCAGACATGTCAGCCTGTGGCAAAGCCTAAGCACAGGCTTAAGCAATTAACAAAGCTTCTCTCTACAATTTTAGCTCCTTGAGGCTCTAAGCCTCCAAAGTGCTCAACGGATGCGTGCCAAGCATCTTCAGCTCCCCTCTGGGACAACAATGAAGGACTCAGTATTTCAGGGGATGTGACCATCACCATATACACGCTGCAGTGTAACAGCTGAGGCTCTGTCCATGGCTTCCCCAAGGACTGAAAAAGCAGAGGAGGAAAGAAAGCAGAGAGAAGAGCCAAAGCCTGCTCGTGGACCATCCAGGAGTGTCCTTTCACAGTGCCATCCGGTCTTACACTCCCAAAACACTGTAACTACTCAACCACCCTGCTTTTGGCAGAGTGAATGGTGCATGCTCCATAAGCAGCGCTGTATTTTAAAAGATCTTCCCACCTGAGGAGCTCAGAGCACTTTGCAAAGACTGCTAACACCCACCCAGCAGCTGAAGCACAGCTGTGGGAGGCTGTTTTCTCAAAGCACGCAGCCTCTCCTCTACACCTCTGCATGAAACCCCACAAAGCATCACTTAATGCAGAATGTGGCCCCACGTATTTCCTCTGCGGGGCTTCCCTGCCAAGTGTACCTTGAAAGACACAAATGTACAATTCCTGCTTCCTTCCTCGTGAAAAGCACTGTCAGGTTCACACCTGAGCACTGAATGGTCCCTGATTTCCTCACTTGTATCCCTGGAACCTTCGTGTCTCTGTAGGTCGTAGGCGTTGCAGGAGAGCTGACTCGAATAGCAACTGGCTGGCTGTGCTTGTCACTGGAAATTCAGCTAATTCCACTCAGCAAGATAAGCCACAGGCAGGAGAGGTGGGTGGAAGAAAAGCTAGCTTAACACTCTGCTTTTTAAAATCTCTGCAGATATTGCTTGCACTAAAACCCAGTTACACTTTTGAATGAATGCTACAAAAAAAAAAAAAAAACCAACACTGAATACTTTACAACATTACGCATCACATCCAAAAGCGTAGGCATGCATCTTCCCACTCTTTCAACTGTTTGTGGTCACAAATACGCTCGTCTCTGAAAACGTGGAAGGAGGCAGGAAGCAGGAGCTGGCCATGACACACGCTCATAAAGCAGATAGCAGCTGAGCGGGTGGGAACGCAGCGGAGGACACTGCCCCGGCCACGGCACAGAATTTTCCCCCTGGGAACAACTGGGTTGTAGGGATTTAGGGGAAAAGACAAGAGAGGGAGGAAAACCGTCCGAGTAATTCAGCTAAGCTAATACTAACAATATAAATAACTTTCAAATTACAGCTTTGTTCTCCCCAGGACTTCTGCACACGCTGCTCCTCAGCCACCAGCCGAAGCCCCGGTGCCGGGGGCTCCACGTGGCCACACGGCACAGCCCTGGGGACGGGGCTGTCCCCGGCGGGCAGCACGCTGCCGGGGGGCCGTGGGGAGCAGCTCCCAGCAGGATGCTCGGACGGCTGATATGGGCACGGGGACTCCTAGCCGGAGCGCCATCAGCCCGGCTGCGATCCGTGTCCCCGGTACTGACGCCCAGAACGGCGCTGCCTGTCACCCGCAGCTCCTCAGCCCTCACCTTTTTCAGGAAGGCCATCCGCGGGCGGTAGCGCTGCCCCTGGTCCAGCCGTGTGACGGTCATGGTGCTGCCGATGAAGCAGAAAGCGTAGCGAGCGAACCGGCAGAGCGACGGTTCCAGCAGCGCACCTGGCTGCAGCCCCCCACCACCGGCTCCTGTCCTCGCCGAGGGTGGCGCCGCCACTGTGCGCCGCAGCCAATCAGCACCCGCCGTTCCACGCTGATTTACATGCAGGCGCGGGGCGGCACGGCTCCCGCCTCGGGGCGCCAGTGAGAACCGGGCGGGGCTGAGAGAGCGGGACCTGCAGGGAGCGCAGCCTGCGGGTGGGCGATAGCGCGCATAGGAAGCTGTCCTCGTAAAGCGTGCCGCCGGTGTTTGGGAGGGCAACTGGCAGAGCCCCCCCAACACTGCTCGCTCCTGGGGAGAAGAGAGGAGTCATCCCAAAACGCTCCCAGCGTGCAGCTGGGTTGCTGTGATGGAGCAACGCGAGAGGCAGGCACCATTCGGGCGGCTGCACCTGTAACCGCAACGCCACTGCCTGACAGCCAGCAGGGCGGTTTTGGGAACTCAACGGATTTGTCATGTGGGGAAACGATGACTAACCGTGACCAGAGGAACGCCACAGGGTTACAGCGTGCTTCCTCACGACAGAGCTGCCTCATGCCAGTGGGTGGGGGAACAGAAACCTGACTGGCAGCACTAAAAACCAAGAGCTTCGTGTTTCTGATTTCTTCAGAGTGGTGGGATTTCCTCCTGCTGCCAAGGTTCGGCCAGACAACACAGCCAGGAGGAGAGGCGGTCCTCGCTCACCCACCCAGCGTGGCCGGTGTTCTCACATCGCACAGACACGCACAGAAATCATACAGGCACATCTGTACCCGCACGTTCACACACAGCACGTCTGCTTTGAAGTCATGCATTGGAGCATCCACACACCCCATGCACGTGCTTTGCTGCTTCTTGAGGCACTGCCTTCCCCAGCACAGTGAGTGTTACTGCTCTGACATTACAATCCGTGGCTCATGTGCTGGAGGAAAGCACGCTGGCTCTGAATACAGAGCCAAGTTCTTTTCCATTCATATAACACCCTGAGGGCACGGGCTGCTTTCCCAGTTGCTCTGCTGCCCTCATGGAAGGGTTTTATCTTTATCTCTGCTCTTTCATACTATCTGAACAAGCCAGTGCTTTGGAAGGCCTTTCTTCTGTGTCTGCTTTCAGTCATTTCCATGTGAAATCCCCCTGTGAGTCACAGCAGCTGCTGAATCGCAGACACTTCTTACTTTCCAAAGGCTTTTCCACCATCCTCTGCTCTGTGTTGCTAGCTACCATAATGACAATGAGTAACCTGTCGTTCCACTAATACCAAAGTTATCACACCTCATGCTTCGAGGCATCAGCTGACTGCCAGAAGGAGAAGTTCTTCAAGCATTTGCAGCGTCTAGTAGTTCCAGTGTTGTGTTGCTGTTTGATTTTTCAAAACAAGCTCAGATCCTGGTGGCCCTCTGATACTGCCAAGGTGACAAACTGTGGTAGCATAGACTGTTCTGTAGGCAAACAGCAGGAGAGAGGGAATTAAAAGTGGGGTGAGATGAGGTTAGGGAAATAACAGTGAAAACATGCAAGCATTTTGAAGGTGTTAAGTAAGAGAAGTGATTCCATTTCTGAGAAAGACAGATAATGTAAGAAACTCTTTTGGACATGATATCAGGGAAGGCTATGAAGAAGATGTAGTTCAATGTCTTGGCTTAGTAAACAAACTAGAAAAAAAATCACAGTAAATTGCAAAAGGTTTCTCTGAATGGCTGTTGGCATTGCCCCTGTGTCATGCATTGCTGCGTTGTGGAAGGATCCAGAAGTTTCCAGATGACGTGCAAAAGCAGGATCAGTCACCACCAACCTCCCTCATAGCTCAGGTTTGAATTTTTTTCAGTTTCCAGTCTTCTCTGAGAAGCTAAAATAAAATGTAAGAGCATTTCTCTGTGTATTATAAATCTGTTTCATGTCATTGTTATAAAAACGTCAAACATAAGCTCAACAGTGATACTACTTAGAAATGACGCAAAAGAGAGATCAGAGATGAATTGTGTTTCACCTGCTGCCCAGGTGAATTACACCAGCAGTTAATGTGTGATGGCAGCTTTGCCATGTGAAGCACGAGGCACTTAAATCAGATTATACAAGTTCACAAAGGGCATACAGTCCTGGGCTTCCAATGACAAAACCCTCACCTGTGGAGACCAAACAGACTTTTTCCATCCCTGATACAATCTGGCAGACTTATAGGTGAATTTGTCAGTCAAAAAAAGCTTGTGCAACAAGCCAGAGCAGAAGAGTGCCAGCAGAAGCCATGTACACTCCCTATCTTCCTGCTTATTTCTAGCTCCCCCTGTTAAGTACTGATGTCCTTGTGAAGTCCCTTTCAGTAATGTTTGTTCTCACCAGACATGTTCACAGTGAAAGCAACAATTCTTGTTACTTTCTATTGTGGAAAGCACTGCAGGTGGAATCCCCCCTTTTTTACAGATGACATTTCCTAAGCGGTTGCCCCTTCTTCACACATCACAAGTTGAATCATGCAACACAAAAGACGTGTGGTAACTACGTTTCTATCTGAGGAAACTGGGGACAGCGGTGAGGGGAAGGAAGGGGTAGGTAAATGAATCAATGAATCAACGTAAATGAATGGCACCCTGAGTGTCAAGCTCAGCCTGAATTTCAGTACGCAGTTCCTTCCAGGAAGATTTCAAAGTAGTTTATCAGAAAATAGTGTAAACTTGGCACAGACAGAGACATGACTTAATCTCAGGTCTCCCAGTAAGGCAACAGTGGAAGCACTATTTCCGGAGTCCACTGTCCCAGCTGGTAGAGCAAAAGTACTGAGGGATCCTTAATTGCTAAAAACTAGTGGTGAGCAGGAACAGCAAGCACTTGTCTCCCATCACTGCTGAACTTTCCAGGAAGTGGCAAAGAAGAAGGAAAAAAGGGAAACAGAGAAATACTCTATGCACCATGCCTCAGAGATGAAACCAGGCTGCTGCTAGGGAGAGAGAACGCAGCTGGGTTCACAGCTGATGCAGTACTGAGGTAAATCCATCATCCTTGGGGCAAGAATAGCCCTCCTCTAGCTGCAGCATTCTGAGGGCCATGCTGCCTTTCCAAGGGAGGGGAATGGCACACCTAAGCAGCTTTAGAAAGCTTAGCAGCTGTTGGGAGTGCGAAGAGGAGAGGACAGTGCTGGGAGGAGGTAAAGGATGACCCTGCACTTGGTGATTTGAATAGCTGGAAATACAAGTATCAGAAAATTGGGTGACAAATTTGAGACAGGGAGCTGCACAAGGAGGGGCAGCAGGAAGCAGCTGATAGAGAGTGATGGCTGCAGGGGCAGCTGGAGGGAGGGGCTTGAGCAAAGTAACCGGGCAGGCAAGCGGGTGGGGGAAAGTGAAGTGAAAGGAGGAAAATGAGGAAGGAAAAGGGCAAAACTAAGACTGCCAGGGAGAGCCAACAGGAGATGGAAGTAGCCTTGAAACAAAGTGCAGGTAGCCCTAGGAGACACTTCTCTGTCCTGAAGCAGCAAATACCTCTTTGTGAGGGATATCCTGGATGAAGAAGGTGATATTGCCATGGGGAGACATCAGTAAATAGCTTCTTTCTTCATTCTTTCCCTCATTGTTGTTGCAGCACAGGTTTTATGTGTATTTCTCTGCTGGCCTGGAAAGCAAAGACCCATTATGATATCCGTGCACAACCTCGACTGTCAGTTATCTTTTCTGCTGCACAGCTTTGATTTTTAACCTGCTTGGATGACTAATTACATCTCTTTTTGTTATGCTTCCCTGGTGGGCATTAACTCACCTTCAAAAAGAAGACAAGCTGTATGGTCTCTATGCTTTAACTCTATCCATCACTGGGATGCAATAAACACTCATTTTCTCTTATCAAGAACATCAAACATTTTGAAGGAAAGCAGTTACGAGTTCCACCTCACTGACCAGAACCATTAGAACTTAAATCCAAGAGGAATCACTTGCTCTGCCCACCTCACAGAGAGCAGCCAACTTTCAGGAAAACTTCACTACAAAACGCATCAGAATGCTGGGTTTGCTCATTTAATGTTGGTAAATAAACACCCCGCTTGCTTTTCATCCCTGTGAGGCGTGTGCTTTGTGGTTTGCTCAGTCTGTGCCACGGCGCAGCACCACAGGCGAGCTCTCAGAGCACCGAAGAGGAAATGCGTGCCAAACCGTTCCGAGCGTTTTCACAAAACTGTTTGCTTTTCGAACCGAGAACAAAAACCGCTGAGCCGGCAAAGCTCCATCCTGCTCTTCTGACCGAGGGCTGACCTCCCCCGGCCAGCTTCCCAGCACCGTGCCGAGCCGTGGTAAATGTGCTGTTGCCCAACCCGGCCGGCTCAGGCCTCGTTTTCCGTCACATTCACTTCGTCCACAGTAACGAAACCCGCCGCCGCGCCCCGCCATTTCCTGTCAGGAGCCGCCGCAGCGCGGGACTCCCGCCCAGAGCGGGCGCGACTCGCGGCCACGTGACACCCCCGGGTGCGTTGGAACCGTCACGTGACGCGGGCGGCGGGCGCACGCGGTCACGTGAACGCGCGTGCGAGGCGCGAGGGGACGTCCTACGCCGAGGGTGGAGCCGCGGATGCGCATGCGCGGGCAGAGAGCGGGCTGGTGCGGGCCGGGCCGGGCGGCCGCTCCCCTCGCTGGCAGTGCTCGCTAAAATGGCGGACTTCCTGCCGTCGCGCTCCGTGCTGTCGGGCTGCTTCCCCGGCTGCCTGCTGACCAGCGGCGAGGCCGAACAGCAGCGCAAGTCTAAAGAGATCGATAAGTGCCTCAACCGGGAGAAAACCTACGTGAAGCGCCTCGTCAAGATCCTGCTGCTGGGAGCGGGCGAGAGCGGCAAGTCCACCTTCCTCAAGCAGATGCGGATCATCCACGGGCAGGACTGGGACCGGGCGGCCCGCGAGGAGTTCCGGGCCACCATCTACAGCAACGTTATCAAGGGTGCGTCGGCCGGGGGCGGCCTTAGGGTGGCGGGGCCCGGGGCCGGGGGCCGGGCGGGGGTCCTCGGCCTCCGTCCCGCTTGGGGTTCCTCGTCGGCGGCCTTTTCTCCTGCCGGCGGGGTCGGGACGCGGGGCGGCGGGTGGGGAAGAGCCGCACCTGAGGCTGGGCCGTGCCCCGTGCCGGGCAGGAAGCTCGGCGCGCGTTCTGCTTCCGTGCGAGGAGCGGCGGCGGCGGGCTGACAGCGGCGAGCAGAGCTGCGCGCTCCGAGCGGCCGCAGCCGGGCTGGGCGCCTCGCCTCGCCGCTGTCAGCCGGCCGCGCGTTGTCAGCCCTGCCTTCTCACCCGTGAGTTTGGGTTCTGTAAGGCTTTGGTACCATCTTCGGTGTGTTTCTTGAGGCTGAATCGTGGGCAGATGTCAGCGTTTCTAAACGGGGCTCCGGGATTCCAGCGGTTCTTAAAGAGTCGTTTCATAACAGTGCTTCAGATCGAGGCTGAAAAACGTAGCGAGGAAGTAGAAGTCGCGAGCAGAAATGTTGAGGTGGTAGTCTCTTAATAAAACCAGGTGATTTGTACTGTAAAGGTACACACGGAGCAAGTGCGGGTCTGCTGCCGCAATCATTGCTTTGACAGATACAGCAGTGACAGAAACAGAATGAATTTTGGAAGGATGCTTTGGTATTGATGAATTATAGAATGGCCTGGGTTGAAAAGGTTCTCAAAGATCATCTAGTTTCACTCTGCTGTCGTGGGGGGGGTCATTATCCCTCCGTTAGTACACACCATCTTTCTCCGTGCCTTTACAGTTGCTTATTTTTACCAGATTTTCTTTCTTTACCACCAGCAAACCTAACACTAGAATTTATTTCCCCTTGTTTACGTGATCAGTATCAACACAATTTTATTTCTTTTTTTTTTTTCCCTCTAAGATCTGTGTGAGACAGTTTCAAGATGCTCAGTTTCTCCTAGAGGTTATTTACTTTTTTTTAATTATAGTAAGTGTGGGAAAGTCTTCATGTAAATGCAATTCCAGCTGCTCTTGAGCAGTAAAACCACACAGTTCAGAAAGCTCTGTGTTTTTACTGAGTTTAGTCTGCACATCATGCAGATGTTAGACTGTCAACTCTACAATTCAATACGACGCTGTAACAAAGTAGTAAGATGTGCTCCCTGTAGGCACCAGGGAGCCTTAAAATTAAGCCATCGAGTGGTTTAATGTATTCTGAAATAAACTTTTAAATATACTTCATTTGTTTGGTGTTCCTGCCAAGTAAATATAACAACTGTAAAATGATTCAGGAGATCAGAGGAAAATATAAATATATGTGAAATATATTTATGTAATACCATAGATTGGGGATTTAGTGGTTTAAAGATGGCACTTTTGGAAGTGTTGTACTTCGGATATTATCCTGTTTCTCAAAGCTGCATTTTCCTGATAGCAGCTCTTCTGAGTTTTGTTACTACCTGATGATGTAGTATTTTAATTCAATATTTCTGAACCTTTTTGATTTTCTCCTGCCTTCAGAGCCTTACTGAGCTTTGATGGTACAGAGTAACATACTGTTGGACACTCTGCAGAGTTATAGGCTAGAAAAATAGTAGGTGCAGACAAATCCTAATTGCAGCGCTCTTTCATGTTGTTAAAGGTGTGAGAGTCCTTGTGGATGCCAGGGAGAAACTTCATATCCCCTGGGGAGATCCTGTTAACCAGAGTAACGGAGATACGATGATGGCTTTCGATACCCGCTCAGTCACGGTGGTGCAAGGAATGGTGGAGACAGCAGTTTTTTTACAGTACCTCCCAGCCATAAGAGCTCTATGGGCAGACAGTGGGATCCAGCACGCGTACGACAGGCGCAGAGAATTCCAGTTGGTAAGCTTTGTTTTTCAGTGTTCTAAGTCTGGGGTGTGCGTGTTGTCTGGTTCGTGCGTTGCTTTTTGGTGAAACGCTTTCTGCTAAGTGACCTCCTTGTGGATGTTCAGCATTTCAGATGGTAGTCTGTTATTGTGTTACTGTGAACTCGTGCATTTAGCTCCATTTTTTTCCCCTTCTTTCCTTTCAAAACAAAGATTTACATGGCGCACCCGATATAATTGTCCTCATTTAATATGTGAGAAAGCCAAAGTATCAATTACCTTTTATGTTCAACAACAAAGCTTGGAACTGCATAGTGTTTTTAACATATGATTATTTTTATGATTTTTTACTTCAAACTTTTTTAAAAAAACATCGTTTGGAGGGATGACTTAAAGTGATCTTTAAGAAAAGATATGCATGGGTTAATGAGAAGAATTTAAAAACCACTCCCTTCTCGATTCCAATTTGAGCAATCTAGCAAACATTCCCTCTGTATACTTCCTGTTTAATTTCGGATGTCTATGTTAATTCTCATGTAATGAGGTTTTTGTTAGATGGAAGTTCTCAGCTAAGGCTGGAGTTCAGTAGTGGGATTGGAAAGGAAAAAGACTGCCTTGATTCTCGAGCTGAAGCACTAACTGTGACAGCGAAAGCCCCTTCGTTCCCTTTCCATGCTGATAGTGCAAGAGGAAATGAAGACTTTGTTTGCTGTTTATTGTTTTGTAGGCTTGTGTAGTAAATGCCAATGGCATAGGCTTGTTTAGGGGTGAGGGTGGGGTTTGGCAACCTTAAAATAGATTAAATCTGTTCTTGTTGGTCTCTTAAACCTAACTGGCTTTGTGCTTTTATGTCTTAAAAATAACCTTTGTCTTAATGTGAATCTGAACAATGGCTGATGATGTCTCCTGTTGAGCTATTATGAATGATTGTATAATCACAGGCTGGCTTAAATAGGTTGTATAAATATTCTTTATAAATATGTATTGCCCAGATTCTGGAATGTCTCAGAGAGGTGCCCAACTTGCTTATCGCCTGCCTGACCCGTTTGTGCTATTTCAGTATGTTTTTAATGAGGCCTATTGCATTTTATATTTTGCATTGGAAATTATCACGAAGGGGTAATTGCATGTCTGTATTCAGGATTTTTATCTGCTGCAAATGTGACTTCTCGTTGTCATAATTGCCATGCTGCAGTGATCTGTTTTAAAAATCCATTGAGTAAAAACGTTTCATCTTCTATTAGATTTGTTTAATGACTCGAGGCTAAGTAGCTCCCTTTTCCTCCGCTTCTACTTCTGCCACCTTGGGTTTCTGACAAGTAGGTTCTTTCCATAGCTGAACCATGTGCAGAGTTTCACTTTGAGTAGGAGCTGAAAACGTTTTCTACTGAATCTGTGAAGGGAGGGGAGGAAAAGAAAGTTTTGTTTTGGAGGTTCCTAAAGCTGTGTAATGGGCTCTGCAAAAAACACATGTTACCATTCGGGCTTTAGGCAGAATTTAAAGTATTTCTTAATGTGCTATTCATAGTTGAGTGCTGCCCTAGTAATAGGTTTTGCAGATCAGGTAACTGCTCTATTTATACTTATGCTGCTTTATTCCCTAAATTGTGCTGAGATTTTGAAAGGATTTATTTATCACATGATATAAACATGAAAAAAAAAAAAGCTGAATGATGTCATTGCATGGGGTGCAAGCAGCGTGTAAATGCTGCCCAAACATCAAGTCTCAATTTTATCTTGGTACATTTCAGCATTAAATTCTGACAGATACACGTGGTCAACAGGATGACAAAGAACTCCTGAAAGCAGTGTGTACTTCTGACATATCCACTGGCAGGCTTTGTAGGAATGTGTTCAGGGAGTCCAGGCGTGTGCTGTGGTGTGGAATGAAGACAAATAGCTAAGGTGGGAGTTGAAGGTGTACCTGAGGGAGGGCAAGGGAGCTGGAAGACACATGCAGGTGGCTCAGTTGTACTGAGTACTGACTCTTCAAAGAAGGCTTAAAAACTGAAAATTGTGTTGCAGCGTGGGAGATGAAAGAAAAATACTGTTCTACATCCAGTTTAACTGCATGTAGCAAAAAATGAAATGTAATGAAAAAACGTAACAAGAGAAATCAGCAAT